TCTGTTTAATACAACACGTGGCCGCTGGCTATTTGCTGGACTTTTTCAACCTTATTTATAGTACACGTTTTTTTTTTTAATTTAGTTTATTAACCTTTTAATTCCTAGTTAAATAAATAAGAAAGAAAAAGTTTTTTTTTTCTTTCAAAGAATATATTGTTACAACTGTGTTTTCATCTTACGTTTAAAAATCATGTGTATGCAATAATAATTTTATTTGTTTTATAATCTATTAAAAATATTTTTGTAATTTTGGCCACGTTTGAAAGTTTGAAAAATATAAATTTCAAAAAACCAAATCTTTATTTTCTAAATTTGACTAAAACTTCATAATATTTTTAAATAGTTGAAAGCTAGACAAAGTTAATGCAACCGCAGGCAACGAATTTGGAACTTTACAAAATAAAATAATAATAATAATAATAATAATAATAATAATAATAATAATAATAATAATAATAATAATAATAATAATAATAATAAGAGAAATAAGAAGAAATCCAAAACTTTAGCTTTTATAATTCCAGTGGTTTTTTTTATTACTAACAAAAATTCAAGTGGCCTTCTTAATTACTCTAAAAAAATTAAATTATAGAAAGATTTAAAATATTTTTCTCTTCATAAACATATATCATTAATCGGAGGGTAGAGTCAAAACGAACATAATTTAGCAATAAATGACATATATCTCTAATCGAGGTTGTAAGTTTAATCCCTCATCCTCACATACAGTCATAATTGACATATGCCTCAAACCAAGAAATCGTGAGTTCGAACAAAAAAATTTACATTTAGCATTTCTCAAAAAAAAATAATAATAATAAAACACTATGGAAAGATGCATTGAATTTAGTATTAACAAAATATCATAGGCAGTGTCGTTTGTCTATGAAATCTCGACAACATCCAGGCAAAGAAAAAACCCATTGTTCAAATTGTTTAACAATAATGGATATATTTCTCAAAAAATAAATAAATACTAATTGCTAATAATTTGGGTATTTAATTCCATTTCTCTGTGTCATATAATATGGATCCCCCGATAATATTTTAAGCAAATTGAATTGTTGGGGCAGAATTGAGCCACTTAAAAAATTCGACAAATTCGTTAATAATGAAATTAAAAACAGAAAACAAATAGAACCGAAGATCGGTGTGTGCTAGCCACACAGGCTCCGATGCCTAAGTTAGAATCGAAAGTTTGCCGAGTATTATTGATAATATGGTTTTCAGCATACCTTTAAAGTTATTAAGCCTATTGGTTGAGTCATAATGCCCTTAGGAAACATACCCTTCTAGGCTGTGACATCTTATCGTGGGGTCAGACATTGAAGTAAGGGGTCGGTGGCCCGCAATAGAATTTTACCAGGTTCAGACCCACCTTCGTAGGGCCATCGAAGTTCTCGATCGGAGCCTGGTTGGCCGATACCTAGTCGGCTGAGACTTGGTATCGACGGAGAGCTGTGATGCAGTTCACCTATCGCGTCTAATTTTGTCTTCCCATAACACATAACTATATCAATTTTAGATGAATGAAACGTGTTAATTTGCAGTATGAGGGCTGTAACACCGATTGGTGAATGTCTTCTTAGAAAGTTGAAAATGGAGCAGTGGAAGCAATATGTATTTTTGTTGCGTTTGGGCATGAAATTAAATTATCAAGATGGTGCGAAGTCAAGGAGTATAGTAACCCTTCAAAGTCGGTCCACTTTTTTTCCCATCGGGATTGGATTGGAAAAACAATCAAAATATTAATTGTTATATGCAAACAAGAAGCATGTGTGAAAGAGTGGAAATTCCAAAGGAAGAGTGGGGCTTGATTGGCGGTATTAACAATATATATAATAAGGCTTCTTATCGCTGTCTCGCAACTACAAGCACCCATCAATCAACCATCAAACAAATTTAACATATCATACCTTTACGTCCCTCTTTTATTTTTAACTTTAATTAATATTCCATCAAATATAATTCACTCTTTTTTTTGTAATAAAATAATTTGGAAATTTGAGCCAATCTCAATATGGATTATATAATTTAATTATTATTGGTATAGTTCACCTAAAATGAAATCAAAGAAATGACGTGTAACCAAAATTATATGGGTCAAGTCGATCGAACTAGATATCTCTCAGTAAATCCGATCAAGTCAGTCAACTTAAGTCAGTTAGAGGTCAATTCAACCTATTGTTTGACTCAGACATTCGAGTGTGTTGGACACAATACCACACTGGTGTAGATATCTTCGACCCCAATCCAAATACTGCATCAATGATAATTATATTTTAAAGCAGCCTACCAATTGTTTGAGCTAAATAAATATATATTTTGGGAATTTAAAGGTTTTGTTGCAAATAATGGACAAACAACGAAATATGCATATATAGGGAATTTAAAGGTTTTGTAGGTTCTATAATGTGAACAAGAGAAGATTCCAAAAGCTTACAAGCCCTCCATTGGTGCTTTCTTTATTTACCTCTATGGAAAAAAATTAAAATATATAATACTTCAAATAGAATTGGATCCAACCTACTTGATCATTAGGCTGAGGCTTCCACCCATCCAATGTAAGCGATTGTGGATAATATTAGATAAAAAAAATTAGCAATATTAAATAATATGAAAAAAAAGCTCTATTTATCTGACATGATATTATACTTCTCTTGTTACTAATTATGTAATATTTTTTTAATTTTTTCTATTTTACACTACTAACAAGTATGAAAATTTTAATTTTATAATAAATATATTAAATTGATTCATGTTTGTCAGTTGTGAATATATCAAAATGAAATATAAATTTTATTCATTTGCACGACAATCAAATTTTATGCTTTTATGAATATTATAAATTAGAAGGCTGATTAAACAAGAAATATTGATTTAATTGGAATCATATACAAATAATTATCGGATACTGAATCATTAGGTAAGTTAGAGTAAGATATTAAATTAAATTAATAACAGAAACGTACATGGTTGAGTTTCAGTAAACTTTTTTGTCACATCAATGCAACGTAATTGATGCTCTCTTATCAATATCTATTAAAAGAAAGAAAGCAACATTTTTTGTTTTATATATATTATAATAATAATAATAATAATAATAATATATTAGCCTTCCAGTTCCAAGCCTTCGACGATCCTTCCCACTCTTGTTTCACGAAAAGCTTTGACAGCAACGTCATCATGCAGCTTTCATCCAAAAATAAAATAGGATAAAAATGATTTAACTTTAGTTTATTTAACTTTAGTTTGAATTTTATACGTTTAGAAAATTATCATTTTTTGTTATTTCATTATAATTTATGTCTTATTTATTTCGATTGTAATTTTAATTAATTATAGATGTTGATTGAAGATTTTCGATTATGTATTAATTTTGTGTTAAAATTTTGTAAATATAGGAATCAAAACGAATATTTCAAAATATATAGGACTAAAATTAGCATAATTTTAAAATACATGAACTCAAATGAATAAAAATTTAAAATATATGAATCATAATAGATATATTTTTTTAAAGTATAATAACGAAAATAAATCAAAATATTGAAAGAACAAAATATTATAATCAATTTATTTTGAGCACTTGCGTGGGTGATTTATCTGCTTCTCCCCTTTTCTAATTTATCAACTTTTTTGGTGCGTGTTCTCACTTGCAATATGACATCCTTTTCTATTTTTCCTTCACTTTTTGTTTCTAGATTAAGTCACAAATTTGATGCTTTAATTATTGTGTATGCATATATGTGTATGTAGCACATATTTATGTATGTATGTATATGTTTGCATGTATATACAATGTACAATAATAAAGTAACAAAATTTAAAAAATGTGAAGTAGAGAAAAAAATCTCAGATATCTTAAAATGTTAGATATTTGAATTTTCATATCTCATGTTGTTGTATTAAAAATAATAATAATAAAATAAGATATTAGATGTTACCCCACGAAAAATGTAAGGATGGAGACATAAGACATGAGTTTTATAGGATAATACAAAGTTACTATTTTTTAACGATAAAGATTTTTGTGAAACTATATGTGTTTATTCATAGAGTATCGATATTAATAAATAAATAAATTTATTTATTTATCTTTTGTCTATTAAAGAGGAGATATATCAATCATGGATAAAATTTAAACATATAACAAAAAAGAGGGGGAGGGGTGCATAAAATACTTGCATCACAAAATTTCATTTTTCAACCAATTTAGCAAAAAAGTTATCAATTTAAAATATATATTGTTTAACTTAGCTACAAAGATTTACAAGTTTGTGTAAAAATTCTATGTGGATTATTTTTATTCATCATATATCTCAGCACAGTGATAAGGGCATGGAATCGTGTGGTAGAGTCGTACGCTAATCATAATACTGTTCAACTTAAACAAGAGTTTCAGTTATAGAGATCTATTAGCGCAAGCCATACAACAATAATTTCGAAAAATAAAAAAGTAAAGATTTTTACTCATGACATGTTGTTGGAAATTATTGATAATTTTAATTTTATTAATTAAAATAAAAAATTCCACATCCCAAATTCCAAACTTTAAATAATTTAATAGATTTTTAAAACATAAATATGGAAAAGAAAATCCAAAATCTAATCACTTTAACACAAATATGAAATAGAAAATCTTAAACCGTGAGATCTTAATTTTAAACTCTAAATTGTATACAATTTAATATACTTTAAATACAAATATGGATTAGATTATAATTTAATAAGGTACATATCTTAGGAAAGAACCTGAAATATTTTAAAATAAAAAAAAATTCTACAACCATATCATATCAATATCATGTGAAGAGGGAAAAAAATATAAAAAATCATAAAATAACAGGACATATTATATAAATAAATATTTAACCATCACCACAGATTTGTAAATTAAAAAAAAAAAAAAAACACTGGAATTGGGCTGGGCCCAAAAAACGATAAATTTTGTTGGGCGAAAAATTGGGCCTCCATCGGCCGATACAAAGAAGGGAGATTCCGACCACTGTACTTCACCGCTTCTCACAAGAGTTGCCGATTGCCGGCCGATCAATTGGCGAATCAGTAAACTTCCCGGGTTGAAGTGTGAATCTCGCTGTATTTCCTTCTCGTACGGCGTCGGAAGTCGGTCCTCCGTTCCTAAACCCTAAAATTGGGTTTTAGGGGAAGTTTCAAAAAACCCTAATATCACTCTTATTCCTTCACTGTATTGTACGTATCCTTCGGCCATGTATGGAGGTGGTGAGTATACCGATTTTCCTGGCCTCTTCAAATTTACGCATAGTCCCGCGCTTATCTACGAATTACTTTTGCTTTAATTCCCATTAATTGTTCGTTCTTCTACAGACGAGGTATCAGCTATAGTCCTTGATCTGGGCTCGCACACTTGCAAAGCTGGTTATGCCGGAGAAGATGCTCCCAAGGCTGTTTTCCCCTCTGTAAGCATTTATGCATTTGACACGCCCAGGATGTATTAACTCATTGTTATGCTACATGTTTGCGGTCTTGATGTTTTGAACTGTTCGAGTGTCCAATGTTGTGTTAGTGTAAGATATGTTTGTTTCACTGCTCAGAGCGTTAAAGTTTTTGAGTTTTGGATGTTCCGTTCATAATTGGTTAGCTGCATTTGACGCACTCTGTTTATATGTTGAGTGGACACGTGAAATACTCAATATGGTACTTTACGAACAAGGGAATGCTGACCACTTACTCAATATGGTACATTGATATCAGGTCTCTAGCATCAATGATGCTATTGACTCGGGGTTGTTTTTTTTCTTAAGTCTTATAGATTCTGTAATTTTACACCTGTGAATTCTAGAATCCAGTCCTACCCCTCCAATTTTGGTAATTGAGATTTTTAATTAAGAAACATGGGATTTGGTATTTCTTATGAGCTGAAAATTTCATCTTATTTTTAGTATCTCGTGTTGGGATATTCCGTTGCTTGAGAGACCTGATATCAATGCTATTCAGTTGGTAGCATAAGAATGGTACTTTATTATTAGGAGAATTTGAGATTGGTATCTGTTCCAATTGTGAGTTGTGTTCCTAGATGTGGTAATAGAAGTATTCTTGATTTTGTACTTTAATCGACATCAATTGAATCGAACTTATGACAGAGTGTTGTATAATGATTGTAATGGAAAGGAAATGATACCTGACAAATGGTTCTGGCCCATATAGTGACCATGTGAGAGACAGTGTGCACAGCACCCATATTTCTACGTAAACTTCAATATAGGATCAGTTTGCATGATGCTTTTGATAGGCCTGCTATTGCTGCCATAATGATTAAGGGCATCATGCTGTATCCGTCTCAGCCCTTTACCATTGTTTGTTAAGGTTGTCGGTTCAATTGACCAAATGGAAGTTGATGACACTACAAGTGCCGAAAAGAACTCTGGATCTGCTGGAGAATCTAAAAGTAATACTAAAACTCTCGATTCTGATAAAGGCAAGGGAAAACGCAAACTATATGTTGGATCTCAAGCTTTAGGGTTCCGCCGTGATAATATGGAGGTAAGTATGTTTACTGTCATTGGGTTTATTTGGAGTTTTCTGGACACATTATAATTTGATTTCTTTAATTAAAAAAAAAAAACTGTTATATCAATCCTGCTGTTCATTAGGTACTATCACCTATAAAGGATGGAGTGATTGTTGACTGGGATATTGTTGATAGCATATGGGATCATGCTTTCAGGTAATAGACATGATCATTTTAATAACCTTTATTTATGAGCCTGGAAATGCTATGGATGTATATGGATCATTTGTCTTCATGTGGAACACATTGAATGTCTTGTTGTTTCTGTCATGGGGCTGGATGATGGTTTTCATTCGTCTTTGTCGATATGTGCATTTGACAAAAACTATATCCTAGACCGCGTTTAAAATCCTAACAATGCTATTTTATAAGCATGCCCAGTTTTACTTTTATTGCTATTTTCTTTGGAAATATTAATTGTTCCCTCTTATAAATTTCATGCATCAATAAAACTTGTGCAACCTGAGAAGGTCTCAGGACACCTCTGTCTGCTACAATTTTGTTTCCGATGGTTGGAAGAATTTTTGTCATTTTTTATTTTTTATTTTTGCAATATAAGCTGCCTTCGTATAGAGAGTTGGAAGAAGTAGACTCTGAATAGGGAGGACCTAGACAGAGAAATAGAGAAGAGAACTGAGACGATCACTCATTCTGGCCCTTTGGACACTGAGTGATCCTGGTTTCCACTGTATTAATTGTCATTACAAATCCATGAAGAAAATTTTGGATTTTTATAGTTATCTTTAGTGTAAGCAGTTAAAAGCTGCTTACTTCATGGGGGTTTTCCTATGAATTGTACAACTTTTAGATTTTATGTTGACTTCATAATAATTTTTATGAATTTGATTGTGTATTTTTCAGAGAATGTCTACTGATTGATCCTCAAGAACATCCCATGCTACTTGCGGAACCATCTTCTAATGCACAACAACAGAGAGAAAGGTAATTGATTACTCACGAACTCCTTTTTCTGTTCCTTTTGGGGTTAATACTGTTGCATTTGTTAATAAAACTTTTACTGGCAGGACGGCAGAGATTATGTTCGAGAAGTACAAAGTTCCTGCATTATTTTTGGCAAAAAATGCTGTATGTCTTTCCTATTTGCTCTATTTTTGTGGTGTTTACCTTCGGGTTGCACATTCTTTGTTGTTTTGTTGTCTTCATAGTTTGATCATTCACTGATTTTTTAAAGTTATTCAAAATCTTTTTGATGCCAGGTTCTCACGTCATTTGCATCAGGTCGTGCTACATCACTTGTTGTTGACAGGTATCAGATGATATTGTACAGTACTTGATATAATATATATATAATTTTTCTCATTTGCCTGCTGTATATTTTCCTCTTGAAGCCTGGAGGGCCAAGGCTAGAGTATTATTAGTTGCATGCACAAAAATGACTTCGATGATTTGATTTCTTCATTCTTTAAAGTTACCAACTTCACAGAGTTTTTGCACGTTTTATTTCATGAGTTTCTTTGTTTTATTTTATTCTTAGTAGTTCTTGGATTTGTGTCTCGATTCAATTATTAGCTGATCATTTTGATTGGGGAACTTTTCAGATTATTTTTACAAATATTTAGAGAAACATCTGAGATTTTTTTTGTTTATTCGATTTTTAAAGTAATTGAGACTAATGGCATATTTATAACCTCTAAATAGAAATTGAGTTGAAGTGAGTGTTAGTATGGTAGTTTTTCTGCCTGAAAGTGACTTTTGTGAGGAATTGGGTTTTAAATGAATGAATTTTGCAGTGGTGGTGGATCAACAACCGTTGCCCCGGTGCATGATGGCTATGTTCTGCAAAAGGTATTTTAGAGTTGATAAAATGAGTTGCATAATCTTGGTTAATTTTTCTTTTTAAAATGATGTCACATCCATGTTCTCATGTCAGGCTGTTGTATCTTCTCCTGTTGGTGGAGAATTTCTTACTGATTGTTTGTTAAAAAGTTTGGAGAGCAAAGGTATCAAGGTAGGGTTGACAATAGTTTTTGAATCTAAAGCACCATTTTGTTGTGTGTATATGCTGAATTGTAATTTCCATTATGCTCGCAGATAATGCCAAGATACTCCTTCAAGAGGAAGGAAATACGACCTGGAGAATTTCAGGCATTTTACCTTTGAACTGTTCATTTTATGAAACAATGGAGATCTTTGGAATTGTGGAATTTTATAGTTATGGAATCTGTAGTATATCCTTTTGACATTTTTTGGGGCTGGTACATATTAGTTCTTGCAGTTTTAAGTTTCTTCACTTCTTAGATTTCAATTCCCATATAATTTTACCATATTGAAAAACGTTTTGTGATTGTTTTTTGGGCCTTATGATGGAAGGGATATAAGGATGTATAGTCGAGAATTTGTTAGTTTAAAGTACACATTATTTTAGGAAATGCATATTGTATCTGGTTATATCTATTTAATAGTGCCACTCTCATCTTTCTTCTTCTAATAATAAAAAGAAACAAGGATTTGGTATGGTTATCCTTTTTCTCTTGGCTGTTGCTGTAAGAAATCTACGGTATCGTGTTTTTCTATGTTAGACATTAAGTATGCTACTTTTTTCTTCTTCAAAGCTTCAAGATGTTATTTACTGTTTTTCATTGTTGGTAATTATTCATATGACATTTCATTTTTCTCTCTTGTAGATAGTTGACCTTGATTTCCCAAATACTACAGAAAGTTACAAACTCTACTCACAGGTATTTTATTGATCATTAATATCTCATTTATCATGCATACTAGCTAGATTTTGAGTTGGATACTCTATGATGACAGAGGGTAATTGCTAGTGATATTAAGGAATGCGTATGCCGAGCACCAGATACTCCTTATGATGGTTTGCCCCTCCATTACTTTCTTTAGTTGTTAGAATTTCTTTACTTGGTCCATTCAATTTATCTTTGACATGAAGTGTCTCATCTCTGTCTTTGTATTCTGCATCTCATTTATTTTTAGGCCCCTTTCACTCTAAAGGTGTTCTAGTCTAATCTTCCGAGCATGAGGGGACATGTTTTATTAAGTTTCAGCTTACCATTCTTGCATCATATTTATATCATAGACTTATGAATGTTATGTGCTAATTGGTCTGGATTTTATATTTCTATCTTTGTAGAAAGTGCCTATTCAAATATCCCAATGACGCCATATGAACTTCCTGATGGACAGTAAGTCATGTAATAAGGTTTCGGATGATTATATGTTCATGCGTAGCTTGCATTCCGCTTTATTCCTTCACTTAACTTTCCCCTTTTTTCATTTATGCCTAACCTTTTGTTCTTAGCTACACAAATTGTCATAGGATGTTGTCTTTTCTCCATTTTTTCCTTTAAATCATCCTTTTCTTTTTGTTAAAACTTTCGTTCTCCTTTATGCTTGAACAGGACAATTGAAATTGGGGCTGATAGATTCAAGATTCCTGATGTTCTATTTAATCCTTCGTTAGTCCAGGTGAGGGAGTTTGTCATCTTGTTATTCACATTCAGATTAATGGGTAGCCATGTAATAATCTGGCACAAATTTTGAAATTCTTTTTACTCATCTTGCTCTCTCGCCCTCTCTCACGTCACTATTACTAGACTATACCTGGAATGGAGAGTTTCACTGAGACAGCTCGCTCAGCTCACGGATTGCCGCAGATGGTACATTATTAATTTTACTACTATAATCTCTCATTACTTGATGACCTTAGTCACATTTTTTGTTCCTTATTTTTCAGTTTCTAAAACATCAACTATGTCTTTACCATGCGAACAACTTGAGTTGAGTTTGGTTTTTGATTTCTGGAGGTACATTTGGACGTGGGTGTTAATTTGTTTTAGTTTGATTTTAGATATAAGTCAAGAATTGAATCTTGATGCTCGGTTTGCTATATATCTAAAACTGGACTAACCAGGTATTATTGAAAATATTTAAATTATCAGATTGATTGGCTCGATTTTGGCTTATTGGCTATGTTACCTATTTTAAGCCTAAATTTCCAACAAGTGTTCAAATTTCAAATGGATTCTGAACCAAACAAATGTTAACCTTTTACTTTCTAACAAGGTGTTTGAATTTTTTATTATTATTATTTTTTTAAAAGCAATCAAAATTTTGAAAACATTTGAATTTCCAACATTCTCAAACAACATATTCATGCTAATTTAGGGTATATATTTTTATTAAAAAATTAATATTCTTGTCTTGCTTCGGTTTTATAGCCTATAAACCAAACCAAATCTCAAATGTTTCGTTCTCACACTTTTGGAAATGGAAAAACCAAATATTACCATAGAAGCTGGGATTGATCTACGTTTGCATTTTTACTTCCATAATCTCATTTGATAAATCTTCACATTCTTAATCCTTCAAAATTTTAAGGCTCTATTTTAGTTTTTAGGTTTATTATTATAAAATTCATGTTTGTATAGTATTAGTACTAAGTTTATTGTTTTCAAATCTTCATTCAAAATTGTTTCTTAATCGTTGCCAAAATTTAAAAAACTAATAAGAAATCAATCTTCATTCTTCTGTTTTTGAAATTTGTCTGAGATTTCAAAATATTTTTACAGCAGGACTCTTAGAGAAAAATTCTAAATTCAAGAAGATAACATTAACTACACTCTTCATTTATGCAGGTAATCGAGAGTATAAATAAGTGTGATGTGGATATTCGCAGAGAATTGTTTAGCAGTATACTGGTATGGTTTGGTGTTCTAATTTCTTTCTTCTCCTTTTCTTTGAAATTTTCATTTATTGAGACATCTGGTTGGTGTAAATAATACACAAGTTTATTAGTTTCTGTTTGTTTTATATTTAAAATGACTGGAAAAGTTTTAGATCAGATCATCTTAGATGGTGTGGCTCATGCATTTGAAATATTTGCTTGTTTTAGCATATTTATTGTCATAAACAGTTTGCAAACCATTTTCGTCTCCCCATGAAATTTGATCTCATATTTTCTACCTCATCCAGCTTGCTGGTGGAACAGCTTCAATGCAACAGCTCAAAGAACGTCTTGAGAAAGACTTATTAGAGGTATATCAATTAATCAATAGATATCCCTATGTGGCCTGAATGGAAGAAGGTTCCATGAATTTGAGACATAATTACCGTCAATGATTTTCCTTAACTTGTAGGAGTCTCCTCAAGCTGCTAGGGTTAAAGTATTGGCGAGTGGAAATGCCACTGAAAGAAGATTCAGGCATGATCTTGCACTCTCTGCTCATTTCTTCTTCTTCTCAGAATACTAGTCAATTCAACCTTTCGTGTATGCTTGCATCGATGATTCTCTCTGTGTGCCATATCTATGAAGTGAAGAAAATAGTAGTACAGATATCAATCATTACGAGGCAAAATTGTGCTAAACATCAGAATAATAATTGGAGTTTTCCAGTTTTTACGACCGGTGTCTTGGTGCCACAGGGTGCAGGCTAGTTATTGATTTTCTTGTGAAGTATGGAGGCCATGTAACTTTTTGTCTTCTTTTAGACATCTGTGCAAGGCAATCAAATGCTACCTTCCTCTTCTAGGCATCCGTATGCAATTCATACATATATCTGCACACATGCGACATTCGTCACATATTCTATTTATTACGTTTACTGGTACCTGTCCATTGGGGCAGCTACAGGGTAAAATAATCTATGCATTATGTTTTTGATGTGTTCGGTTAGGTATATTTGAAATCAATTTAAAACCACTATGTTTTTCTGTAAGCAGTATGCACGGTTGGCACCATGATACAATGTTCCTTGCTTAATCTTTTTGCATAATTTTACGTTCCTACTGTGTCTTTTGTCTGAGCTCTGGTGATTAAATTTAATGCAGTGTCTGGATAGGAGGGAGTATATTGGCCTCTCTTGGTTCATTTCAGCAAATGTGGTTCTCCAAATCCGAGTAAGTCTAAATACTTGCCCCACACCCCCCCGAAGGGAAAAGTTGCATAGATTCACATTCATGTTAATAGATTTGACTGAGTTTTAAGAAATCATATAAAATTTGTGCTTGTCATCACTATAGTCACTTAAATTTTGTGCAATTAACAGGTATGAAGAACATGGGGCTTCTTATATTCAAAGAAAATGCCCGTAGATATTGTCCTTTGAAATGAAGGTTCATTTCCTGTTCCATGATTTTATATGTGATAGAAGATTGTCTTTCTAGCCATTTAGTTCAAACTAGCAGGTTTCATTTTATCTGCTTCCTGTACGTTCTTAATGCTTTCAGGTTTTTTGGAACGCTCGACCGGGGACAACAGGTCGTTAACTTTTTGTTTGTGTAGCATATTGTACAACTCCACTCACATGTTCTATTTAGCTGCTGTTAGCATCTGCAGTACAGGATCAGGCCATCAATTCCCTGTTTATTGCTCAATATTTGACTAGTAGATCATTTTTATTTTCTCTGAGTTCAACAAGGTGGTAGTAGATAAGTTTAAATTAACTTTATCATTACATTATATGCAAACATTCTGCCCCTCTAATTTTATGTTTTTTATGTATATTTGAACTTCTGACCTGGCTTATATGCTCTCTAGACAGTAGTGCAACAATATATTCCCACAATGGTTGACCAAAATGGATATTTTCAAAGTACATGAACAAAAGTTAAAATTAAAAGTACAGAACTGATCGTTTTAAAGTGGAGGGATCAAAATGAATCAAAGTTAAAAATACCAATATCAAATTAGTATTAAATATTTTCTGTGATTTAACCGTCACGGCAGGTTGATCCTTAGCATGGGTTATGGCCTTGGTTCATTGATGTTATTAAATGTAATTTATAATATACTAAGTACATTAATTTTATATTTTATAAACATTATAAAATCTTTGCAACGTTGGTCAAACTTCTAAAACTAAATACTGCTTCAGATTAAAAAAAAAGACAAATATTAATACGCAAGTTCGTAGAAAATAAAACTAAGGTGGTATGTTAGACATTAATTATTTGATATGAATGTTTAATAATATATTTAAACCATTGTTATTATTTTTCTAAGAAAATATTTAATAATTATTATAAGTATGTAATGTTAATGGAGGCATTATATAATTTATATTTTATTTGTGACAAGTGGATAAAGCATCGTGGAAAAAATTAATTCATATTTTAGTTTTTATAATTTATTTAAATAACTGCCACAAGAAGTTTTAGTGAAGTTTGAAATTGGGTGAAGAGAGGTGAATTATCCATCCAAATATTCCGTTCCATCGTTGTGGCTGTGGCGCGCTTCCGCTTCCATGGCCACTACATTCCTCAGCTGCGGCTCGCTTCTACGTCACTACTCTTATTTCTGCAAATCCCTCTTCTTTTGCTGCTCCAACGATGCCGATGTTTCATCTACGTCGTCATTACCGAAATCTACTGCCTCTTACAGTCGTCGATGGTACAACTCCTCCACCAGAACACAGATTAACGAAGGAGTTGAAATTGTACGCCATTGGATTGAGGTCGATCAACCTTCCGCTTCTGAAGGTATTTCATGAGTTATTTCCCGTTCCTGATTGAACACTTGCTAATTTACTCTGATCCATTCATTCTGGGAGTGACTTTTTAGTAATTTACTCTAATTTACTATGAGTATCTTAAGCGAGGATGGATCACTAACTCCATGTTCATTTGTATACAATCTCTCCGTCGCTCTCGCATCCTCTTCTAACCTTTCAATTAATCCATTATCATTCCGCCTCCGACGATTGTATAAGTTATGGCAGTTAAGCATAATTTTAACAACGAAATATTACCATTATGCTAACCGCCGTTACTAAAGCAGAAGTTATTTAAAATACAAAAGTAGATTTCTGCGTGTCACTTGGTATATTATTGGTTAATCTATTGGATTCAGACCGAGAACTGGTGTTTTTGGGGGTGGCAGTGTGGCACTACAGAATACAGATGTTGTTACTTGATTTCCAGTTCATTTTATAGCTTTACCGTGTCCCCTCTTATGTAAAATTTTGGGAATGTTATTATTATTTATAAAGCTTATAAGAATTCTGGTATACTTGTCCACCTAGGATTTAATATCCTATGGAATTACATTAGTCGAGGTGCGCGTAAACTGGTATACATATTCATGATATCAAAAAAAAAAAAAGAATTGCTGTCAAATGTGGAGATTTTGGATATCTAGTCTGATCGTCTACAAATTCCTCGTGTCTTGGATTCATTATCTAATTGTCCTTCATAATTTCTTCTCGTTGATAAAATTACAATGTTTAGTCCAAAAACAAGAACATCATTAATGTGTGACTAGAGTAATGTCAGAAGAAAAATTAGACTTTAGAAGTAGAAATGAAAAAAAAATCTAAAAGGATATCGAGGAGAAAGGGGTCCGGAGGGATTGAATTGTAGTAACACGAGAGAAGTATGGAGGTTGTATTCTTGACAAACTATGGCAATGCAATATAGTTGGTAATTAATGAATAAAATATTGCAGAATCACAAAATGGGCTATAGCACATGGTCACATGATTGACCTTCTTGGAGCTCATTTAGAGTTCGGTTTAGATTTTTCTTTGTACCAGTTTTTCATGGAATTAGCTCCTGGTTTTCTTGCTTTAATTGTCGTAAAATGAATTATCATTGAACCTTGTGGTTAGGAAATGCTATTTATGTGAAAAATATCTATTTTTCAAATCTAGCATGCAAATAATTTAGCTTTAATGAAATTGATATTCCAGAAAAATTAAGTGTAGTTTCATACAACATATTGGCGGAAAGGAATGCATGGAAACACAGAGGTCTATATTCCAATGTTCCTTCATCATATCTGAAATGGAATTACCGAAAGAGAGTTATATGCGAGGAACTTCTTATGTGGAACCCCGATATAATCTGCTTGCAGATTAGCTCTTA